CCAATCTTTTTTGTTTAGGTATGATTGACCACCTGGTACATATTCTGATCCACGAAACCGGATGTTAAGTTCAAGAGTCGGTTATGCATAATGAAGATTATAACACCCCCACAACGTCCATCCAAAGGATGGTATCAATTTGATTTCAAATCCTCCAAGCCTTGATCATATTTGTAATTTATCGAATTAATTTAATATTGAAAATTAGTCTTAAAATTGTCCTAATAGTTTGGTAGCAATCTTAAGGTAATTTTCTCACCTCAAGAGTATTCATAAAAACTAGTGTCTCATTTTGAAGAAGCTCCGTCATCGGATTTATTAACATATTTTATTTAAAAAAAATTAATAAAATCTCCCAATAGTTTGGTAGGACTTAAAAATAAATCTTCCAATAAGTTAGAGGATAAAAATTATTTTTTTTTATTTAAAAAAAATTATTTATGGAACTTCCTAATAGTTTGGTGGATTCTATTTTAAAAATTAAACCATGAAAATTCTCCAATAGTTTAGTGAAATTCATGAATTTATTTTGTAAGGATTTTTATTTGAAAAAAAATTTTTTTATTTTTATTGAAAGGATTTTTTTATATAAATACTTTTTTGAAAAATTTATTAGAAAAGATTTTTTTTATAGAATCATTTTTCTTTTTTTTTTAAAAAAAATTCATTTACTTTCAAAAATAAAATGGCCGAAATAAAATTTCTTAAAAATAAAACCAGAAAAAAAATAAAAAATAAAATGAGCTAAAAAAATAAAATAAAATAAAAAAATCAAAATAAAATGAAAATGAAAAAAGAAAAACCTGCCTTCGGGTCGGGTCAGTACCAGGATCAATGCACGGATCCTCATCAGGTCACCCGCGGGTCAGAGCTTCCAAAACGTTGTCATTCCGCAGTAGTATAAAAATTAAAGCTTCAGCGTTTTCTTCAGAATTACCTGAGCCACTCCACCTCTAGCTTTAAGATTCTCTTCCTTCTATCTAAAATCCCTCAAGAAATCCGTCGAAAACTTTAACCGAAAACTGGGAATTCCATCGGTTTCTAAAAAAGTCACCGAAAAATTCAACCGAAAACTGAAAAACCCATCGGTTTCTGGAAAGATAGCTGGAATATGGTCGAAAAATTCAACCGGTTGCCGAAAACTTCATCAAAAAACTCATGTTCATCCCAAAAAACCCAAAAATTTCCAAAAAAAACCCAGATTTCTTCAAATTTTTTCAGATTTCTCTTAAATTTGCTCCGATTGCTCCCAAAATTATCCAAAATCCTAATTCCAACCCCAAAAACCTAAAATCAAACCTAAAAACTTTAGATTGAACCCAAAATCCCCAAAATCAAACTTTTAGAATATTCCTACTGCCAAAATTTTCCAGACCTTTCTCTTTACGAATTTTCTCTATGTGTATATCCTCTGTAGAGCTTATTCAATTTATAGGCAGCCCTAGGACTAATTTTAGGAAATGAAAAAATTCAATCCCAGGCTTGAATCCTAAGATTGCATTCTATCCAGTGTGATTTTTTGTCCAAAATTCCAGTAATTGTATCAAAACTTTGACCAAAGGATTTTGATCCTGATTCCCTTTTCCTGTTCACGTAGATTGGAACAAAAAAGGAAATAAGAAAATAAAGAAAAGGAAAAGGAAAAAAAGACGAAAATAAAATATAATATAATAACAATATACCATAATACTATATTATAATATATACTATAATAACAAAAATACAAAAGAAATCGATCCAATTAGGCCCTAACACAAATGGGCGTCTACACTTTGCATCTTTCATTGTTTTAAAGTGTGATCACACAAAGAATAATATTTTCTTTAAAAGAATGTCCAAAATTAAATTTATAATGTGGTACCTTGATTGTTTTTATAACAGTAGTAAAGATATTAACTTGATTAAAGTCTTATCTACTTAGATTATTGGCTGGCCTTTGTACTCAATTTCAATATGCTAGGAAAATATCATCATATGTTAATGTCTGCCATAAGTGATAAGTTCTTAAATATTTTGTACAACATAGTAAATGTATAAATTGTTAGTCACTTTAATTTATCACATCTAAGGATATACATCTGTTGCATGGTGTCTTATGATAGCCAAAAGGGTTAGCTTCCACACAAGAAAGTTTTAGAGCTATTATGATATCTCAATTTGACTTAAGTAAAATTAAGAGTTGTTGAAATATAATTTCATTTAATAAATATTTATTTTGGTTGTTTAACTCTCAATTAAGATATTGGTTAGATTATCTTAGTTATTATTATCAAACCTAGCAGTTATCAATTTTAAAGGGCATATTGTTATCATTTATTGACAATGTGTTTTAAAGAAATTTTAATATTTTCTTTTAAGAAACTCTCACATGAGGGGGAAAATATTGTTTTATACTTATCACAGTATGAGAGTTTTGAGAAATGAAGTTTTGTAAAAATAAGCAAAACTATTTGCTTTGTTAGTTCAATTCCTTTCTTGATAATCTTCCCCAAATTTTGTTGCTTTACTTTTGAGAGAGAACAAGAATTTTATAAGTGTCTCCCATTTCACTTCCCTTATTTTAAATTATATATAAACTAATTTTGAGAATTATTTCAACGAATGATAATATAAAGGTTTTGATTTTTTATTATTATTATCATTATTATTAATTTATTAATGCCAAAAACTATTCTTTTAAAGGAAGTAAAAATTAGTGGGAGTTCTTCTACATATATTTTAAAGTAGTAAAGACTCATAAATGCCCTAAAGTTCTTGTTTTGGAGATATCATATGTGTTAAGGTCAGTAGGAGTGAATAAGCTATTGGATTAAGCATGTTTTAGATATAAAAATTGGCAACTCAATGAATTCCAAATTTATTGAAAATGATCTCATGCTAAGACATTGAGAATTTTGTATTGTATGAACATATGAAAATGAAAATTTGTTCATTTGTAAGTGGTTTTTTAAAGTTACATCATGGAAGTTCAAGAACAATAGTGGTTATCACATTTGGCATAAGGGCAAACAATACATAATTTTATTATGACTCCATTTATTGAACTACTCATTATTATTCAAAATTTGATTGGAGCATGTTTGTGATTCGCTGGATCAGTGAGAGACACTGTGATTTGATAAAATGATATCTTCTCTCTGTTTGTGGTATTACTAAGCTCATAATATGGATATCTACAGGTATTGAAAATAGAACCTGTTAAGGTATTGGGTTTAGTATGGCAATGATGCATTGTAAATTTACTTTTGAAACTATTATTGTTTTGGGTTTCTTTACTTTGTTAAATGCATTGCATGTGATTGCTAATTACCTACAAGACATAGTTTGAGATGAATAAGTCCATGAGGTGCCATCAAGTTAAGTGGAACCCATTGTTTTATATATACATCATAGTTGTTATTTGTATATATGTTTATTATTGCATATGCACATCTTACATTGACATGTCATATTATAAAATCTTAAGACTTGGTATTTGTCTTAAGTACGACTTTAATGTCATTTGAGTATGTCTCATAAATGATACCAGCAAGTAACCTAGAGGATATAGAGGAGACACACAAGCACATCTGGATGTCATGACAGTTTCTTAGCAAGTTTAGAGAAATCGACTAGAGAACTAACAATGAAAATAACACATTGAGATCATATTTAGGTGTTATTTTCTTGCTACACAGTCACACTAAGATCCATTGTCAATAGAGTTTCTGGTACTTGTAACCATGTATTAGTCTTGTGTTAATAAAGGACATAATGGCTGCCATGATTCAATATTAGATAGTTTTATTAGATAGGATCATTACAATGTTGTCTCAAGGACTAACTTGTTTTTAAAGCTATGCCCACATCAAAGTAAAGTTAATCAGCCTAAAGTCCTGTTTTCTAAATTATATTTTCTTACAATCAAACAACCCAATTAATATTGCCCAAGTGAGAGAATGTTAGAATTTTTCAAGTAAGTAGGCTACTATTAATTGGTGATTTTAATGTTTAACAAAACAGGCTGATAAATTTAATCATAATACGAGAAAAGTATGAGAGTTCAAATAATTTAATGTGATCACCTAAATATGGGTTTTACACATCTTATTACGTCAGTATGGTTTAACGACTATGTAGGTCTTTAACCCGGTAAACCTTTGATGGGAGGTTTCTAGAGTTTTAATATAAATTGGCTAAAGTTTCCTCTTCATTTTTAAGTAACGGTATCTACCCATTGAGAGCCAGTAGTAAGAGAAGAGTGAAGAAGACCTAGTCTCTTCAGAAATTGGTGTTGCTTCCGCCTATCAACTATGACTGTCCAAACAAATACCTAACATAATTAAATTTGATGTTTTAATATTCATATATGATTCTTGGAATTTAAAATTATGCTTACATTACGGTCTAATGATTTCATTTTCCATCAAAACCTTATCTCCAACAAATTTTATTTTTAAGAAATTAAAGAATTTGACAGTCCACCTATAGCTTTACATAAGTTATCCAGAAGCATTTGTTACCTTCAAACAAAAAACAAGTTAAAATCCATTAAAACTCTTCATTAACCAATTATCACCGCATCATCGACCCTCCAACAGCTACAAAATCAAATGCATAAAGTAGTTCCTATTTTCTAAGTAGAGGGGGAAATCACTTCCTTATCTACCCTAGCCGCAAAGAAAAAGCAGGGGAAACTGAAAAAACACAATAAATATAAAAGGAGCTAAATACAACAGTTACAATAGTAAAATCCGAAAGAAATTTACAGTTGAAGTTAAAAATCTTATCTTTCTCATGCTATAGACTCGGAACACACAAACACAAAAAATAATACCACTAGTAATGACGCAAAAAAGCAGAAGCTCGAAATTGAAGTCCCAAAAGTAAAATTAAGTAAAACAAACCAAGGATCTTACATTGCTAAAGCTAAAACTTTGATATAAAACCAAATAGCTGAAATAACAGAATCTTAGAAACTGGGTTTTCTTTATTAAATGAAATAAGAAATTTACACTTACCTTATCTTTTTTACCATTCCTTCTCTGTCTCACTTCCACTTTCCAGCCAGGTGGTAGCCAGTCATCGGTTGTCTGGTCCTCCATTTTTTTTTTTTACAAGTCTTTGGGCTTACCGATAGCAACTTCCGGCAACAAGGGAAAGAAGAAGAGAAAAAAATGGGTGTTTCTCTTTATTAAGTTTGTATACCTGTGAAGGAGAGTCAAAAGCCTATTAAAAAAAAAAAAAAAAAAAAGAGAAGACCGGAAAGTGTAAAATTCAGACAAAAGGGTTTCCTCAGAACCACGTGTTGCCAAACTTACTGTGTTTCAATTGGAGATACGGTTCAAACGTGTCCCCTCAACAGCATATTCCGTAAGTTGCGTTTAGATTTGAATAGATTTTTAGTTCGAAAATACAGTCAAATGTGAACCGCTGAAGTGTAAAAACTAAGAGACATAGTGCTTCGTTAACCGTGGGGTTGTAACTCTTTGGACCAAAGTGTCCTCCTTTTTGTCGTCAAGCGTACAACTTATTTTCGGGCAAAAACAAACTTGATACTGGAGTCTCCTCCAGTCTCCACCATGGCAGCGATGGGATGGGATAAAGGATTGACACAGCATGATGATCTATTTTTATCGTGGGGTATGGAAGTAGGGGATTATTTCTATTTGCCGCATAGATTGGGGACTTTCGTACTCGTATCGGTTTATCTACCCAGTCAGCGACGTGTCCCCGTACTTCACCCTTCAGGTAAGTATCCTGTTCTATTACTGCTTTTGTCGTTGGAGGTGGGCTTCTTTTGCCCAATGAACTTTTCAGTTTGCAGAACATTAAAGACTGTGGACCAACGAGATGAGATCTTACCAAATCTCTCGGCCTACTTTCCTATTAAAATTTAAGAATGTAATTATCAAATATTATAAAAAAATTATATTTAAGTACGATAATTTATATATTTATATTATATTTATTTTGTATCAAATATATATAAAAAAATTATTGAATTATAATTTTTATTAATATATCAAATAAAAAAAATTTTATTTTTTCAAATTCATATATAATTTTTAATAAAATTTTAAATCATTTTACTTTCATATGGTTTATCATATAATATTTAAAATTAAAGTATATGTGTAGTGTTTTATTTGGCAATTGTCTTGAATTCATTATTCATGTCATTGACATTTTTAAACTAAAAAAAATCGGTTCATGGATTGTGGATCTTTAACTTTATTTACCTTTCCCAATTTTGTTACTTTTTGAATCTTGTAAAAAGTAGATTTTGCTTTTAAAATATACAAAGCTTGAATCCAAATCAAGAGGTTCAAAGATTAAAAGAGCGTTGTCAAGAAAAGTAAAAGTTTATAAGATTTGGAAACTGCCAAGATATGAGATTATCCTTATTGCCATACAACTTGTTTCCACTGAGTTACGTTATGTTTCAGGGTCTTGTAATCAATCAACAACTTTTTTCGCAATCGCTCCTAAGTGTGCTCTAAGTCAACTGCACTATCTGTGAAAAGACCCCCAAAACTCATTTGGCGTAAAGCGTAAAAATCAAACCATGGTGACAAATTCGTTGAATGCAAGGAAACGTGTTAGGCTCCTCTAAATTTAGAGTATCTAACAGGAATCAAGAAAATAGGCGCAAGGAGAAGATTTAATTTGTATTTATCTGAGCATTATTGGATGACATGACATCCATAGTGAATCAGACTGAGAAAATGTTCAAAGCTCCACAGAAACTTGCTGCAGTTCTGTAAAAAACTCGGACGCTTTATCTTTTGAACTCACAAAGACATAACAACTCTGATTAACAGAAAACCTAGCAAGCAAAATGGTTCAGTATAATAAGTACTACCAAAAGGGAAAAAGCTCCCACATAACCTTACAGCTTAATGAAGCCACTATATTACGTTGTTCGACCCTCTTTAATGTACATCTTACTATGTCAAACATTGATTAAAGAAAGGTTTTGTTCTGCATGTCTATTATCTTTTAGCGGAGAAAATCAATTATGTAGTGGGTTTGGTCCAGTAGGGACAAGTCGATGTGAAACTGCGTGCACTGAGCTGATTTTGTTGCTGCCAAGCTTCCTAGGGCTATGGATGGCAGAGAAGCTTGTTAAGAACATGGGAGAATACTTGTCTCTCAATCTTTGATCGATTTCTTTACAGTTGCTTGATTGATATATCGGCAACTGGTAACTTGAATAATCCTAGGATGATGAAAATAGTGAGAAACAGGAATAGAGAGTTCTGTGTTCTCATGCTGGGGAACGAGTAAAGAGCTAAGAAGAAGAGGATAAAATGGCAGAGGAAACAAAGTTGTTTTTCTTGTTTGTGTGTGTCGCTAGCCTAGAAGTATAGATATAAAGGATTCAGCTGACTGTGATGAGCAAAACATTAACAGCTCAACGACTAAAAATTCAGAATTCTCTGTAATAGTACCTTTGACGTACTCACATCTTCTGTATATCTTCAAAATGTCAAAGGTTGACTTCTGGACGAAGTCGTTATCGGCAAAGAGGCTTGTTGTAGCACGCTAAGGATGAATTCATTCTTCCAAACAGTAGTATAAAACATGAACTCAAACTTCACAATTTCCAACAAAGAATATATATATAGCATGTGATTGTTGACACGGCTGAACAATTTCAGTTAACCATACTTTCCATACATTGACTCGCCCTAAGTTTGAGAATTGGGAATTAGGCTTGGGGTTACTCCTGAATCTTGAATAAACAAAGTGAAAGCAGGAAACTGGTAGATGCCACTGAAATTTCAAAATTTTTCAGAAATAATTAGTAAACTTCAAAGAATCTGGAGAGTGATGCAAGTATTTTACATGTTGAGCTTATAAATTCTTATTTATCTCTAATAAAGCTCAACTGACAACTCATTACATTAAAACCTATCAACAACTGAATTTGCTCATTTCTTAGTTTCCGCCTCTATTGTATAATAACCATATTGTTTCCTTGTGCACCTTCCTGTTGCCTTTGACTTTTTTAATTCGCATAACCGTTTTCCTCCTATCACCCGATTTCCTTTTATAATGTTGGAACGTAGGTCAATCCAAAACTATTATTGCATACATGTAAATATTATTTAATTTATAATATGAGTTGAGTTATAATTATATTCCTAATATAATTTTACGTAAGTATTATTAAAGATTTATTCTCAATGTGATTGAGACATATTCTGTATGAATAGGCATATAGACAGAACTTGAATCTTAATCCAATTAAATAATATAATAATTCTTAAAAAATGATATTCAAGAGATTTTTAAGATTTAAACCCCAACTCCTATAATCCCATAAAGTAAGTGTCATAAATTGATCTTAGAAAATTAGGTTTATATTGAAGTAATTCTAAATCTTCTAATATTCCTACAACCAATACCCATATATAAAAGTTATCCCTAACACATTCTTATTAAATTGATGCATCAATGCCTATGCAACGAAGTAATATGAGGTATAAAAAATGATTTGGGAGTTAATTGATGTCATGAATAATTCCATTGGGGGTTTGTTTTATCATTTAACATGTAATTTTTTGGGTTAATTGAGATTGAGTGATTTTTTAAAATTGTTTTAGGTTTTTAACTATTGATTTTAGGGTTAATTATGATTTTTAACATCTCTTTTCCTTTTTCCTTTTTGGTTTTATTTTTTAAAAAAAGATTAATTATGTATTTCATATACGAATTATAATTAAAATTTTAAAAAGTTAAAATTAAATATTTGAATTTAATTTTTGTCCATCAATTTACACTTAAAACCAATACTGTTAATAAAATTATAACACATTCCATGTTTTAATTGATTTTTTTAGGCACATCATGTATTTGATTAAATGTAATAATATCCCGTGCATATTAAAATTTTGACTATAATTCAAATATTAAAGTATAAATAATTTTTTTAAAAAATTATAAAAATCATAATAACAATACGATCTAGGAACATATCACCATATTAATTGATTATAGTATTTGATATTTTCAAATAGGATAAGATTATTAAAGGATTCCGATTTCTTTTGTTTTTCATATTCTAAACATTTTACTAAAAAAGGTCAATTTATTTAAATAATACTAGTTAGATTTATTAATGCAATGAGATATTGAGTTCTGGTTTTTTTTTTTTTTTTTTTGCAATTAAGGTTTTCATATAAGATATTAGTGATTAAATTAGGAATGAGATGAAAGATTTTTTTTTTAAATTAATCTATTTTAATCTTTTGAATCTCATTTATTTAATTTATTTGATAATCAACTATAGGTGGTTTTTTATGTTTAGTTGATAATATATAGGTCTTTCTTTTTGTGTTGAACTGTTACATGTTTTGTTCTGTGTTGAGCTGGTAATGGAAGCTAACATCTTACAAGTTTATTCAACTTTACACTTTCATGTAACTTGCTTTTGAAATATCATAATTAGTTTGTAAAGCAGCTTTAATTATTTTTGTGATCTTGATGACAAATAAAATATTTTTCAATAAATTAATTTGATATATCATCATTAGATCAATTAATGTAAATATACAAATACTTTCTGTTTTTGAGAAAAATATCTAAATACTTTTTAAAAATATAAATTCGTAAATTATTCATATTTTTCATTATTTATTATTTAATATACATCTGCGGCAAAGTATGGGCTTATGTGAAATAAAGATGATTTACTTCTCAATTATTTTTGTGTAACCTCTTTTGTTAAGGACACTTGTATCTTTTAATTACAACTTGCTTCGAGCAACTCTACTTAATTTCTTTCTTTAATGCAAATCACGAGGAAAAAAGTACTTGACTTTGCTTATTCGTTAATGCTCTATGCTAATTGGTGGGAATCTGTTCTCAACTTCCCATCACATTGTGATGAAGAAATGCTGATCGATCAGCAATAATTAGAAGCTTGGATTCTTCTTTTTTCAGTCAACGCTGCTGTTCTTGCCCGATGCGATTCAAAACCATATTGCTTAACATGATTTACACCAAAGATTAATGAAATTCATGAACACATGATGGTAAAAGTCTTCGAATACATTATTCCAGCTGAAAAGTTTCTATAGACAAAAGAAACTGCTTATGACAATGCATAGGTACAAGTGGTCTTATACACTTGACATAGTGAACAACACCACTACAAATGCGATCTTATCATGGCAAATTCAATAGTTTTTTACCTATGCTTATTGCATTTCATGACAATGAAACATGCTTTTCAATACACAAACAAATGAAAAGGATCGTTTTGGTTCCAGGAAAGAAAGAATCTGCTTCCAGATCTAAAGGTGGGGAAGATACTTTCAAGTGACATCCCTTACTTTCTATTCTTTCTTTCCAAGAACCAACTGTATCTCTCTGCCTTCAAAAGGGAAGAGAACATACATTCCTGGAAAGATGGCATGCGAACATAAACAGAATTCTGATCAGTTGTGCAGTGGGTTTGGTCCTCCAGGGACAAGTTGATGCGAAACACCATGAAATGCCCTGTACTTCTGGTTTCCAGATACAGAACTAGCAGAAAAATGCTCTGGAAATGAAAAGGAAATGGTTCTCAACTTTTGTTGTGTTTCCTGGTAGGAAGCCCAGGTGACTTGCCGACAACTAGAGAGATGGACCGTTGCTAGCATAATTGCGAAAAACAGAAGTGGGAGAAAAGGACTAAGAGTTCTCATGTTCTGAAATGACCGGAAAAGGAATCGTAGGAAAACAGGACCTTCTGAGTTGGATTTCTAGGTTTGAAGTCTATATATAATGGTAACAGCCTAACAGGCAACCGGTTTTCAATAATCACTCCTAGTATTTAGAATGACATGAATGCCCATATTCTAATCATTATCAGGCCTACCTCTCATAATGGATTAATCAATCTTGCCTCAAATGGGATAAAGTTAAACAAAGAGCCAAGAATTTGGTGGAGTTTGATATCAGATATGAACTTCAGCTACAGATAAGTTTAAGTCGGCATGTCTTAATGAATCCAGCAAGACTTCATAAGTTTCTGTGATAATTTGTTGTAAAATGCTGGAAGGCAAATAAAGGTTCTTGGCAAGAATGATTAAACATGTCCCCTATCGATTTCAAAAGTGGCATGAACGGACAGGTTTGATAACATTTGGCTTCAACGAGAGGTTAGTCGTCTTTAAGGGTCCAGGCATTGAATAAATTGTACATTTGATTGGATATGTCAATGGCTCAATGTTCATCTCAACTGCCAGCCTCGAAGTGAAATTTATAGCTTAATCACCTGTCCTGTCACTTTACCATCCATTGTAACTACGCTGTTCCTTGGCTACGGGGACACGAGTAACAGGAGCTTTTAAGCAGCAGATTTAGATGCACTCCCACTGACGATGCTATAATGTCGAGCATCATTGATCATCTTCATATCTCGTGGGGTCTACGAATCTCTGTCATCAGCAAGCAGTCTTGCTGAGATCTCAGGAGCTAATCTCTTCTTCAATATGGTGATGGGATGTTCTCCAGTTTTTAATGACCCTGTTACTATCCAAAGGCATGAGAGACAGGTTTAGAATGTGAAAATGGTTACCACCAAGTTACCTACCCCAGTGGAAGCTGCCCTAAGGCCTGATGGGGCTTCGTGGAACAGTCTGAACCACTTTCCTAGCATCAGAATACAGTCAACTCAGCCTCTAGCGCCCAACCTATCCAAGTCCAGAGCATGTTATACGTTCTAAAGAATAAAATATGAGTATATCGTTGGATTTGTTCCCCGACCCATTGTGTTGAAAGCCAACTACCAGCTTAGGAATGTAAAAGTAAATTCAAAGTGAATCAGATTCAGATCCGGCAAATGTTAAATTAATACTGGAAATGAATCCATTGTTAGTTAAAGGCAGATAAGATCCAAATGTTCGACTAACTTATAATTGGGAAAAGTAGTACTATATAAAAAAAATGGCATGTTTCTTTAAGCGAAAAGAATTCATTTGTATTTGGCAGCTCTCGAGCAGTTAATAAACGAGTTGGTGGACAGTAAGAAGTTTTTTTTTCTCATCTCTCACAACCTCCGGCCACAAAAGTGCAAATGCCCGGGCAGGCCACTAGGCCTGGTTAGAGCGGATTTGATGTTCTAAAACCAAATACATTCAATCCTTCCAGCAGATTCGGCCCAAAGTTGCAAAGAGCTGTAATATTACCGTCTTGAAGATCATTGGCTTATCGAATGCTGCAATTCTTATCTCTTATATATGTCTCCACGATTTGAGCTATGTACTTGCCACATGCCTTTTTAGGCACTGGTCACTAATGCCTGAACTCTTTTGGCCTCCTATATTTAAGCTAAACTCTTTATCCAACAAATGAAATGAATAGCCAAAAGTAGCAAGAAATTTGTTCCCCATGACTTACATGGAAAAGCTTGGAACTCAGAAAACTCACCATTCATGTATCAGCTGGCGCCTTAAGGGAAGATTGTAATCCCTAGTTGAACAAACTCATCATGCATCTAGAGAAATGAGAGGAACTCTTTTAATAGCTTATAATGGCTATAATGCAATTACAGCTCCTAGGGATTTTGTTGATCATAGTTTCTCCAGCCACAAAGATCAACCAGCTCAACTTAACTAGTATCAGTTTCAATCCCCAAAGTTTTAACATCCCAATTTACTTTTGATTAACGAAATATTGAAGCAAGTTTACTAAAAGAGTATCTGCACCGAGCAAGCTTATATATGAAATAAAGATTCACAGAATACATTAATTCAAACAACATTACTCTATATCTTCTGGCAGCACTAGTAGAAACAGTGATGATCCATTCGAAACGGTAACAACTAAGCCCAAACATATCACTCCTCCTTAGCATCAGTTCCAGAAGATTTTTCCTCTGTTCCAGCAACTGCACTTTGCGATGGACTATCTTCACCTGGCTTAGCATCACTTTCTGTAGCTCCTGAGACTTCACCACTGCTATCCCCTTCAGTTACTGGAACCGTCTTCTTGATGGTTCCAACCTTAACATACTTGCTCATGAACTTGTATTCCCAATCTTGCAAAGCCTCCAATTCAAATGGACCAAGACCAGAGATGTCCCCAGTTAAATCTTTTTCTTCAAAAGACATCTTTGCAAGAGCTCTGCTAGCATCCTTTCCAGCAAACAATGCATAAGGTCCACCAGGTCCATAAAACATTCTGCAAGAAAGATTACATTCAGGTAACAGCTAAGAACTTTGTGATTCATTTCATGCATAATTCTTGCATATATATGATTAACCATGCATCTTGCAAATTTTACAGTCATAAAGAAATTTCAACATAAATTGTGTTAAAGATCACTTGAAAAGTGATATTCAAGTGTTCCCAACACATATGAATAGTTTGTATGTGACAAAATGGAATCAGTATGGTATTACAATAAAAGTCTCAAGCCACAACATAAAATATTATCAGTTGTACTGAAATTACCACTCACAATGCAAATTACTCTAAAACTATGCCAGTTGAGTATCTTTTTGACGTTATAAATTAAATTTAAATAAACTATTTGACCAAAGAAGCACAAATAGCTAAATGCAATCAATGTGAACCACATCAAATAGGAATAAATGGAGAAAATCTAAGCTTCAGAAACTATTTTAGCCTTAGATACATAAATTATTTCAATTAAAAGTGAACCAAAGCACATTGTGCAGGAATAAAGTAGAGTTAAGATCTACAGGTTTAGCTCAACCAAATTCGAGGATTACATCAAACTCTCTTTCTCCACTGTGTGCACGAGGTGCATGTGTTACTGTGTCAGTGAGAGAAAGAGACAAGGAAAACACAGGATATATGGAAGCGTATTACCTACAATTACTGCAGTGCAGTTAACCAATTATAATTCAGCATTATGTAGGGCCCATAAAAAAATTATGTAAAACCTACACTTTTAAATAGTGGAACCCTACATAATTCTTTATTATGATTGGCTAATTGCGGGATTGTAGTAAAGAAAATTGTAGGTGAAATGCTCACCAAGACATATGTTTGATCTGATAAGAAATGAAAATTAGGGTTCCAATTATTAGCTGCTGAGATACACAGTTCATAAAACAAACTTAGCTGCTCATCTGTTTGCTTAATTGAATTAAGTATATAATACTTCCTATGAACTGAAATAGACTCATATCGGTCAGCATAAAAAAACATGTTAATGTTCGCGATCATAAAATCAGGTTAAAAATCCAGATGAAAGGGAATAGCACCATATTATTCCATTTTCATTTTCTCACTCAGTCAAAACATGTGATTCAGGGTCAAAGTCTAGAACTTCTAATTACACAACCAATCATGTACCAGAAAATTTACCTACAACGAACTTGTTTTGCTAAATCTCATACACAGTTTATCATCTAACAATTTTGGCACTGATCATCCAATATTAAGAAATCAAACGCAACCCATCAGTGTAATTACGTGGACCAACCTAGCTATTTATAAGTTTTATCATATGGTAGCAAAATCATAGGCGGCTCAATTATTAAAAAAAAAAAATTCTAATATCGATCAACTAAAAGTTTAAAGAAACCACTGGATCAGCAAATAGCTCTGGTGAGAAGTAATATAGAAGAAAAAAAATTAAAAGCAAATGTCTGGAAAACCTCAAAAGCAATACCTCATAAAATAAATAAAAGCCCCAAAATTTTCATACCCAAAAAACTGCTATAACAAAGCTGATATTCCGACCCCAAAAAGTAGTCTAAAAAAAATCTAATTCAAAAAGAAAAGAGAAAGTAGCAGCTTAAAACCTGCTTTGAGAAACGTCATAGATCTGGCCCTTGATAGCCATGAGAAGTGGCTTCTTTGAATCCGACCCATCATATTGTTTAAGTTCCTCCTCGGAAATCTCGCCCAGCTGAACCGGGGGTGGAAGCGGCTCTATCTGCTCCTCTAAAGCCCTGGACCGTTGATGGTGATCACTAGACGACCCAAATAGACCCGTTACCGCATAGTAAATGGCCCACAACAGAGCAAGAACCGTAAAGAAAGTGGCCGCAGATAGACCCGTATAGGCCGTTATTGCCTCCTCCAAAGTCTCCCATAGCTGCAAAGCCATCGCTTAGATATATTTTTTTTTTCTTTCTTTCGTTTGGCAACACTCAGAGTAAGTGTTTACCGCCGTTTGGTCTTAAATTTGTCCTCCGTTTCTCCCGCAAGTGCATAATTCATTAAATTATTAAATCTCAATGTAATTTATTATAACTGAAAATAAGATTAAAAGAATAAAATTCTGTCATATATAAAAATTGTCTTTTTTAATTAATTAAATTACCTAACAGTCCTTAATGCGGTGGGTCGTCCACTACTATCGCTAATTTATTTTCTTTTCTATTTTTAATTTTTATGATTGTATATTAATTAATTTTATGCACAATTTACTCAATTCTCCGTTGGCTTTTAGGTAAGATTTCGGTCATTTCCATTCTCATATAATAATTCTTTTATTTTTTTTTACTTTTATTTCATCTTTAATGAATCTAAGAAAGAGGGAGGGTAACCAAGTCATTTTAGTTGTTAAGGTTGGTGGATGGCAGGTCGCGGAACCTTTTATTCACACTTTTTTTTTTTTAACTCTTCGCATTTTTTAAAAATTATTTTTAACTAAATTATTTAATTATTTTTTTAATCATCCAACTTTTAAGTTTTTAGGTTTACAAATATTAAAATTCTTAAAAATTTTGGAATTACATATTTAAAAATCTTTTGAAAGTTTTAAAAGTTATATATAAGAAAACTTAAAAATTTTTGTAAAATATTTTTATCAATTAATTTTTTAAATTTAAATGTAATTTTTTTAATTTATATATATATATATATGAAAATTCAATAAATTATATGAATTATGAAAATACATATATAAAAATTTTAAAATTAAAATAATTAAATAATTTTACTTTTAAAAAATTTAAAAAAAAAAGTTGGAGCATGGAGAAAAACATAGGAGTATGATTAAAATCTCTCCAAGATTATTAGTTTGATAATTTAATTTTAAAAAAAACATATTAAAATATTAAATATATATAAATATAAATATTTTATTATTTAAAATATACTTTTAAATTAAAATAAAACTAAAAATAAAAATTTTAAATTAAACCAAACCAACTTGAATCTTAATTTCAAAATCTATGTTCGACACTGATTCAATCCAAGCCGAAAGTGTGGACACGTCTACACACTTCAAATTTATTTTTTGGGATAATTAAAAAAAAATCAATTGCACTAGCCGGGAAAGATATTTTCTTGGCATAATAAAAAATAAAATGAAAATTTTTACTTGAAATTAATTAAACAATAAAAAAATAGTATTCCATTTCTTCCATCCAAATCCAACCACGTTATTTCAAAAAGTATATACAAATATCAAAACATGAGTTTTGATTATGTATTTTTCTATGCTTACGTTTCCATCAAAAGGACTCGTATATATACTTCTACGGAACTTCATTCCAAAACCTTAATTTGATTTTATATTTTCTCACATGAAATTTTGAAAATTTTCTGTAATAGTTGTACGAATTGATACCTTTTTAAGCCAAAAAAAAAAAAGAAAGTCTTAAAGATTCAAAATTGTTTCAGTAATTGTATATATATTTTTAACATTAATTCTAGAGAAGGAAAGAGCATCATAATAATTTGAAAAGCTATTAAAAATGAAAACAAAAGTAAAATAAACGAAAAATACTATTAATCTTACCCCTTCTTCTCTTATCAGTGTTATGTTAGGTACACTGGCTAGTTAATAAGCTTCAAAAAGCAAGAAGCTTCTCTTTTTGTATGGACTCTTACTTAAAGCTTGGAAACAAGGAAAAGGCAAAGCAAAGATTTCTGCCATCATCTGTGCCAAATATCATAAAGCTGTTTCAGCAATGACGTGAGATATTTGAAATTTGATGTTTGGGCAGCTTAGACATGATAGTCAAGCTTCAAGAGTTTCAAAGCTAAAAGCAAACCTTGGGTTCAACATGCTAGGAGGTCAATTAGCGTGAGCCGATTAAGCAAGATGACAAAAAAACATGATCCTTAAAAAGTTGGAATGTTGACTTCTTTCCCACCATTTTGGACCATGTTCATATTTTGTAAAATCAGCTATATAAATGGAATACCATTGTACTATTCCACTTTTACAATTATTTTAAGAAGACCAACTGTTTCAATTTCAGACAGCAGATCTAAGAATGACCATTATCTTCAGATTTTTCCTGTCTAAAGAGTTAAAACGTTAACTACCACATACAATGACACAGACTTGCCACAGAAACATGTGACTGTCTCCTAATGGCAGAGCCACAGCAAATGTTGACATCAGCCAATTGCTTACATTAAGTAACCAACAGGCGTTTATGTGAGAAGTTGCTATTTCTATCTTTATGCATCTTCGTGGAATCCATAGAGATTGCATTTCTTGAGAGATTGCATTCCTTAAAATCTTTTGAGTTTGAACTCGACACCGAGGAAAACCCATTGATCAAATTATTGCAAATCAGAAGGGTCCAAAATCTTTTGGCATGTCACAGGAAATCCCCAGGTTCAAACTAAAGAATAAAAATCCATGATATAAGAATATTGGTTAACGTTTTCCTTTTCAACTGGATCTAGAATGCACATTAGATGTGGTGCTCAAAGCCACTTCTGAAGCTACCTAAACAAGATTCTATCACCTGAAAATAGAAAAAAAAAAAAAAAAGAGAAGGGGGGGGGGGGGAATTGACCACATATACAGTAATAAGACAGATGCCTCTCTCAAAGGAGAGCAGATCACCAGAGAGACCTAAGACCTTCAAAACCAACCACCAGGAGGTGGGATGTTTGGAGGAAATATAATGAACAATAAGGACAGTTTTCAACTATCTTCATTCAACAACCTCTTATTTTGTTTACAGCATAGAAGGAATACATTAACCAAAGAAAGAAAGGAGGGAAAAATGGTACATAAGCTAAGGTTCTAACTCAACCACATAAGATTATGACATTGGATGCTCTAAATAATGTGCACAAGAGCTATCCATTAAGAATACTGAGAATGAGCTTATCAAGTTGTGCACATCTCACCCTCCAAAATACAAACTCAAAAGGCTCAAATCAAAGGGAAAGTGAGCTCACCTCATCAGCTTTCCATAGCCCTTCTTCATACTTATACCACCTCATGAGCCCTTCATCATTTCTTGTCCGCTGACACATGATGCATGAATCTTTCATGCATGTTATGAATTGACGTATCCGAGATGCCTTCTCAAGAATAAGCTGATCAAGCTCGCTCATAATTTTTCTTCGGGCAGGAGGAGGTGGTATTTCTATCAGAAGGCAATGAGATATGTTAAGCACTTCTAGGTTTTGTAAGTCATCCAAGATGGAGATCAGGGTATCCTTCACAAGCATTGAGCAGCGGAGGCTCAAAACCCTTATCTTTGGTAGATACTTTATTATTGTAGCGGCAAAGAAATTTTCAAAGGGTCCCATCACCTTGAGTTCTCTAAAATTCTTGCAATTATTGGCAATTTCTTCCATGAGATATGGAGGGCTTGCTATGGTAGGCATTGTCAGGGATTCAAGATCTCGCCAGATGCGAATAGCTTTGCATATTCCAGTTTTCTTTATTCTATTCCAAGCCGGCATAACAAGCCGTCTGAGGCGTGGGCACCTGCAGTAAAGAAAAAGAAGATCACTTTCCACTGCATTCACCGAAATAGCATATAATTATGAGGAGAATTGTAACGACATTCTTCAAGACCAAACAAAACACACACGTGCAAACACACAGAAAGGACAATTTGATCAGTGTAATGGCAATAAAAGACACTGATATATACAATAATATGCATAGATACCACTTGCAAGTGCATTTTAAACAAGCTAAAAGACTAACATGAGAAAACACCATGTTAATTGACTGTTGAAATTCAAAGCATTAGATATGGTCATGATATGGGTAGCAAATAATTGTTGCTATCAGGCACCCTGTTAACATTAATATGATGTATCATAATATGCTTTTATTTCATAGAGATCATCAACAACTCTAAATAAAAGATGAGGTTAATACAAGATTGGAAACACCATCAGAAACCTTGAGACAATTCTAAATAAGTAAAATTCACTAAAATTACCTTTCAGCAGTATAGGTCAATTGATCATCGCTCACATATAGATTAAAGTGAAAAATCAAGGTCATTATGTTTCCCTGGCTGAGACTCAAAGATATCTTCAACAAACGGCTCAATGCCTGGTCAGAACAAGCGCGCACATATACATAAGGCTCCAATGGAGTTTTGATAAAATCTGACTTCATCACTGATAAATCAAGTGTTTTCCAAACCAAAGGATCACAACAGGCCATACGCCATGAACTGCAGACATGAGCGATGCCTGAAGTTAACTCAAAGATATCAAAAGACTGGAATATCTTCACCAACATATCAGTGTCCAAGTCCTCCCATCTTCTAGCAACATGTTCGATTTCTCCCATTCCACCAAGCTTTCCAATATCTCCAAGAAGTTTCACAGCATCATCAAGCCTACATAGACATGCACTATAGAAGGCTCAGTCCATTATATACATAACTTATATTGACAATGACAGTAAGTAGGTAGAAGTGTACACCTAGTCCTCATAGAACAATCAAGGTAGCTACATCTCCTATTGAAGCCAAGAGCAATAAAGAATGTGTTCAGAAGCATGGAAATTCATTCTCTTGATGCTGTTCAAAATAAAATTCAAAATCCAAAAACATACTCCTAGCTGGCATTTCAGGCAGTAAATTCCATAATCCTAAGGAGAAGAAAAAAGGGAAGTAGATATCACTTGTTTATGATTTTCATTCAAAGATGCCTTGTGATGATAACATGAGAAGAATCCAAATTCAACTACATAGGTACGTACATGTGACCAACTGTGAATAAAAATTTGGTCCAAAAGTCCTCCTACCATGTAAGAAAGCAGTATACATACATATGAGAATGTGTTTTATTCACACAAGTACAAGCATGGATGTACATCGCAATACCAGTAAGTAAAGCCCAGACCACAATGTGCTTCAGAAACATCATTTCCCCTATCTTTGATCCAAAGTTAGGAGGCTACCAATCAGTTGGGTCATGAGGGAAAATGGACAATAAGTTGGCAGTATCTAAATAGTTTAAAATTACTATTTCATCAAAAAAATCTTAAAATGTCCAATTTTGGCAACCCAGTTGAAGGAATTCATGAATACACCACAAATACGCCTTCTATATTAGCATAAATAGATCAACCACCTTGGCTATATAGATAATTTCCCTTGTCTTCGATCCAAACTTAAGAGGTTATCAATCAATTGGACTCATGAGTGCAAATGAACAATAAGTTGTCCGTGTCTAAATAGTTTAAAATTACTATTTCATCAAAAGTATCTTAAAATGTCCAATTTTAGCAACCCAATTGAAGAAATTCATGAATAAACTACTTATATGCCTTCTATATTAGCATAAATAGATCAACCACCTTGGCTACACGTACATTATTGATAATATACACACCAGATCCTGACAAATCCAGCTTTTAGTGTGGTTTCCTAGTTTCTTGTCATTTTAACGTTCACTATTTCACAACTGTCATGTTAATGATAAAGTTATTTCTTAACATAAACTCAAAATAGAAGTTAACCTCCAGTCTGATTTACATAAACCGCAATGTAACATCAACAAATCTAAATAACCAAATAGCTAATATCACATTATCCTCGACAATATCTCCCAAATAATGAATCTTGTGCTAAGGAAATCTTCATGCTACAAATGTCTGCCTATTGTCTATTCTCTTACTTAGCACACTGCCTAGCATTAAGCACAATAAAATTTATTAATTTACATTCTATCCCTTCACTGCCTTTTTTCTCAGCTTTTTCAATTTCAGACCTATATATCAAAGGCATTCCAAGATTCAAGTCTCCCACCTGCATCATCTTGTATTTCATCCAACAACATCAATATACTATAATAGTGTTAAATTATAACCTTAGCAAGAAGCCATTACATGGCGCTAAAAGGGGAATTACCAAGCACACCAAATAGCTGTCAATTGATCGACAGCATGTCTAACAATTACACATTGAATGATAAAAAATGAGTGCATTGAACATAGACATGTCGAACAAAATGGTTACATTCTCCAGCTTTGGAGTCAGAAATTTTATTTTTTAAAGTCAATCTGTAAGTAAAACCCTTACACACAGAAGGAGTGAAAATATTTTCATACGAACTTGTTCTATGACGCGTCGAAAATATTTAACACATGACAGTCAATTATCAAACTCTCAAAGAAATCATACCGAAAAAGACTGATACGCTAAATGCATGAAGTCCTTTGTTATAATAACATCTATCTTGTTCACTATAAGCAAGGTAGAAAGCTCCTTGTCAATAGTAAAAATTTCTACTAGAGGATCTAAATTCAACAAAATCAGTAAAAAACACGCTAAAACAAGAACCAACCTCTGCAATAAAAACAGACAAAATTTCAAGCAAAAAAAAAAAAGATTTCGTACTTCAAGAAATCTTGGTTCACTCAATTTTAACCAGATCCTCCATCTTCGCTTACCCTTAACGAAAAGATCCACGTTGATCTGACTTTCACCTCACAGTCTTATAAACAACTAAAATTCTATATTATATATGCAAAAAGAGACAGAGACAGTTACCTTAGGACAAAATCTTGGGGATTCTTCGACAGGGAGCTTTGTTCTGATCTAGTCGTAAAATGGAAAGAGATAACGTTTTATCGGAATTTCTCCCAAAGGTATTAAAAGGAAGCAAGTTCCGCCCAAAAAAATAAACTTTAAAACGGAGGATGACTTGAGTGACCATAGAATAGTCGTGCTACTTGCACCCAACGTTTACTCAACAACTTTTTTTTTTTTTAAATATCCAATTTTTTATTTAATACATCACTCACTTAAAAGATAAATTTACTAAAAAAACCCGATCACCCTATCTCTCTTTCTTTCATATTTATTTCTCTCTCTTTCCAACCGAAATTTTTAAAAAATTTTAAATTCAATTAAACTAAATTCAAAAAATTTTCCCTCATTTGAAATTAAAAAATTAAAATTAAAGATAATTTTTTTTTGTTTTTTCTATTTCTTTATTTGATTTCGTATTTAATTTTATAAAATTTCATATTAAAATATTTGAATACAAATTCAAAACTTTTAAAAATAAATTTTTAAAAATTTTTAAAAGTTTTTTTAAATAAATATCCATAAATTTTAAAAAATATTTAGAAATTCAAAATTTTCAAAAATAAATATTTGAAAATCTTTAAAAATTTTCAAATAACTTTTAAAGGTTTCCAATATCTATTTTTAAAAACATTTAAAAACTTTCAAAAATAAATTTTTAAATGGGGTGTATAAGAGAAAAAAAATAATTGACAAATAAATATTTAAATAATTTTATTAAAACTTAAATTTGTAATATAATTTTAGGATTATTGAAAAGAAGTTGGGTGAAAATAAAAATATTCATAAGAGAATCAGGTGCAGGACACCGAGTAAATGTGAGAATTACGCAATGAAGCTTTTAACTCTTTATAACAAAATTACTAGATTTGAATTTTATCACATTTTTTATGCGATATGATTAAAATTTTTATATTATTATTTAAATTTAAATATTAATTATAATAAAATTTATTTAATATAATTTTTTATTAAAATTTTTTTCAATTGTAATTATCATAAACTTTTTAATTATTACTATAATAACTTTTATTATTATTTTTAACATCGTCGAAATTAATTTCCCTTAAACCTAAACATCCTAAAACATTTTCTTTGAACTTTTGTTTGGTTGGGTACAATTTCGTAACATGCGCTCGGTTTTATCTGGAGCCGGCTCTTATAATGTACGGTCAGATCGCTGAGTTCAGATGGTCTCGCGTCGGTGGTTCCAAGCACGCGCATAGCTACTTCGTGTACGAATTTCCAATTAGATTAATGGGCATACCGGTGATATATGTGATACCAGCGCCATGGTCTAGAGAGCGGAGACTACTTTAATCATTGCGGGGGCTTGAACTGAAACATTTGCCCAAGCCTGGTTCTTTAACGGGTCTGATTAGGGACTAGCTGGTAGCCCAGCCCATGAACAGGTGTAGACTCGCGCTTTCTCTGACTATTTCAATTTTCCAACTCCCAAACTGGAAGGAGAAGCAGAGGGAAAATTGGAGTGACGAATTTGTGGGATATTTTGGAATCATGCAACGAAACTTTGCCTCTTCATTATATCCAGAACAAAGGGGCATGCTTAGATCTGTGTTGTTGGATGGTTCAGCTTCAAAATGTTAATGAATCTCACTGTCCCATGAAGGACAGGCTTTATCTTAAGGGTCTCTTTCACCGCCTCAGGGCTCTCTCATTGCCTTGAATTGCGGCCTTATCTTTGTCACTGTTAAATTCCTTTGCTCTTCAGCCTTTAATTCTAGTGAAAAAGGATATGGTTTTCCTTTCAAAGTTGGAAACTTTATGTAAATGGCAGCTTTCTAAAGGTTTTCTGAAGTTGGGGTTTTTACTGAAATAATACAATTCCCTTACTAGGAAAGAGTGTCCCTATTCTTAGCGGAAATCTAAAGCTCCAAATATATAGACTGAAATTCGGTAACCTAAGATGACTGATTATTGGGATTGGGCCTAGTCATTAAGTCTTACTTTTTTAGAAGCCAGCCTGTGAAGTTCTTTTAACCGCTTTATTCTTGTATGGTTCTTGTGCAGCGTCCATTCCAGCTCAAGCAATTCAACAGCTATGTGCTCAGTCTTTGAGTGGCCTCCTGAAAAAACAGGTAGATCCTTTGTTCCAAAATTTACCAAGTACATGCTTAAAGGAATATGTCCATGCACATGCAATATTTGCTCTATGTTCATCATTACAACCATGCACTTGGAAGTATGCATTTTGCACATATGAGCTTATAGTGTATCAATGGCTCAGATGAATACATCCTAAGATTGCCGAAAGAGATTTTTGATGATTTGCCTGTTCGCAATCAACTTCGTCTCAGTTAGTTGTTAACATTCCATTGAAGGAGGTACTATTGCCATCTTTCATCTTTATACAAGTTCATTCTTGAACATCCGCAAACCAAAATTCTTGTTTATCTTGCTGCTTTTGAAAGACTTATTGCTTCTGAAGAACCTTTATTGGTCACTCATGTTGTGGAAGGGAATTGCTAGTGTCATTCTGAAAGTATTATCATCGGAAGAGTGTGTCTGGAGTTACTAATGATGTCAACAGATTGTTATGCTCTCCAATGCACTTTTAAAAGCTAAAACAATCAGCACAAATAAATGATGGTTTAAGAAATGATTAGATTGACTACCTTTAAATGATTTTGTATCCTAGTTAAGGAAATAGACTCAACTTATATATGAAGTACTTAAGATAAATTGTTTCAATGTGATTACTTGTAAGCCTCCACAGATTGTGATGTGATAACCAGAATATGCATCATAATTTCTTCACAGATTTGTAACTTGCAAATATTGTAGAGTAGTATTTAATTTTCCTTTGAAATTCCTGTGATGGTGTTGATGCCGATCTTTAAATCCTAGCATACCATTGGTAAGCTTTCCCATTACAGGTGCCAGTAAAGTGTCCTGTATCAGCAATTATTAAGAACCTAAAAGTTCATGGAAGAGAATGTATTGAGGTGTCTTGAGAAGAGTTTATGGAATTACGAGCTCTGTAGTTTCAGCTGATCTTGTAGAGAGGTAAGTAGCAATTATCATTTGCTTGCCAGTAACTGTTGATGCTAAGTTGGTACGTGGAAAGATAAAAGTTTATATATGCATAAGAACACAACCACGGTTGAAATTAATTTTTCAGAGAGATGGCTTGAAAAAAAAAAAGAGCTTGATCACTATGAATAATAGAGTGAATTGAGAGATCCCTGTCCTATCTCTTAGTTTGATCATTGCACCCCAATATCCCACCAAAAAATGGGCTTTTATATTCAACCTGATCTTAAACCTTATAATAGCTCTCTCCATCGATTTTGTCAAATATTTGGCAGCCTTTTTTTATCCTCCTTGATTCTTCTGAGTTATTAATTTATCCTCTGAAGTTTGAATAAATGATTTATTTCCCGTTTTCCACAGTGCTTTTCCTGAAAGGATCAGAGAGTTTGATGATAGAAGAGCTCTAGAGAAGAAAAATCAACTAAATCAAGACCATAGAAATCAGAAAAGAATGTTCTGTGGCTGAAATAGGTCTGAAACGTTAAGATCTGTTGCTTGAAATTGAGTTAGGGAGCAAGTCCAGCACCATCGCTTCAAGAGAAGTTATATCAGACAAAATGACCATAACAACTGAAGTTAATTTCATAAACAAGACCCCCCCCCCCCCCCGGTTATTTTGGAGTCAGAAGGCAATGTTGATTGCAAAGCTGCAACGTTATGCGTACAAACTGGTGTGAATGCTATTTGATCTTTTGAGCCCCTCTCTGCAAGTGCACTCCCAGAATGTTTCCAGATGTACTCAAATGAATGGTCAACAGTTTAGAATAATTGATTTGAGTGACTCAGAAACTGATATATCACCCGAACATGCAAGGAAAGCAAGAAAGCTTAGACTGTTTCTTGCCACCATTCGAGACGACTTTCATTGAATGAGCCATTAAACACTCTGTAGATAGACAACTATTACGCATGTTTTTGTTTGTAATATGCCAAAGATGTTTCTCTGTTGTTCAACATTTGTCTTCTATTGTGAGTTATTTATGTGAACCCTGATTGTCATTCATAAAATGGTACAACCATTCAAATGCTAGCCTCACAAGTCACACCCTTGACCCTACAACCAAAACTGCAGGGATTTTTTTCACGCAATTGATTAGTATACCATCACGGTTCACATGGAAGAAGGGGAAAAAAAAAAAAAAGATAATTTACTCCTGACATCCTGAAATTGGATTTTTTTCCCCCTTTCTTTACAATTATTAGCAGCTATAGGATGCGCGTCACTTTGGTTTATTACATTCTGATATTGCTAGCTCTTCAATCCTGAATCCTGCAACGGTCAAAAAGGTGATAGTGATTTAAGCTAAATAGCCAGTCCTTCAGAAATGCATTCTCATACTGGAATATGAAATAAGATGTAGGGGGTTCTTGAAATCCAGGGAACAGACCACTCGACAACAATTGCTGTGGCCAGGGGGTTTTAAAATCTACCTAACAGACTACAGGACAGCTGCAGCTCCTGGACTTCTTGACATGGTTGCATTCCGTTCGAGTTTCAGCAATTCTCAAAGCATGCTGCAATCAATTTTATGATTCTCCTTTTTCTCATTGTAATTATTTTTATTTCCGGTGGATTAGTTTTGCAATTTATCACAGAAATACTATTCAAAGTCCATCCAGCCCCCTGGACAGAGACTATCCTGGATAAACGGTTTCCCATTATGCGTAAACAGATCTTACAGTAGAAAACTAATGCTTAATATTAGCAACTGAGGAATAAATTAGATTGTAACAACATCAGCCTGTTACTGTAGGCATAAAGTAAAGTTTATACATTAACCAAGTCACTAGAAACCCCTGTACAATGTGTACGTATTCAAGCATTGTCTAAACCAAAAAAAATGGGAAAATGAAATATCATTCATAAAAGATAATGATATTTGCTTCAGTGCCACTGCTTGGAACAGCAAACATATGGCAAGTTGATGAAAGCCTTGACCGGCTTGTTTGTTAATGTGGACGATGACTTGTTGGCCCAGGAATAGGTTGCAAATTCCACTCTTGTGTCTGACTGGGAAGTAATGCTGGAGCTGATTCCAATGTTGGTTTGTTAAAATATGGCTCAAAGTGGGAACTACCATAAACTTTGTTGCCATGGAACCAGGTATTTGAACTCGATTAGGAGAGTGAAACACTGTTTTTTGAACACAGGCCACTAATACTGCTTGGATCATGGAAACTTGAGATGCCAGGTGCAGAGTTAAAACCTAAAGACTTGACTTTTAGGCAGGAGTTGAGTATTCCCTGCAAAGCAGGATGCCTGAAACAAGTTCATGCCCTCACCTTGAGGAAAAGAAGCTTGATGTTCTGGTATCAATGACCCAGGAGGGACAGGCCAAGCAACATGGCCAGGGATTATTTGGGAAACTGCTGCAGGCCCAGGATTCTGTGTAAGAGGGTTCCCAACTGAGTGTCCTAAAACCGGTTTAATCCCAGCCACCCTTACTGCCAGCATCTTTCCATCCATTTTATAACCATTCAAGTGTGAAAAAGCAGCAGCTGCATCTGTTGGATTTTCAAATTTAACAAAGCCATAGCATTTGCTTAAACCTGTAGTTTGGTCTCTGATCACTTTTGCTTCAGTTAGCTTACCAAATGGAGAAAACAGCTCTTTCAAACGGTTTTCATCCACAACTTGAGGTAGATAGCCAACGTAAAGACTTGCATCATCAACTCTTTTGTTTGGTTTATTCTGAGTTGGTACAGGGTAGGCAGCTGTTGGATGGCTGTTGCTGCCACAGGTGTCACAGGAAATGCTCATGAAAGTAGAGAGAAGGCTAGGACAGCAATATCGCTGGTGGCCTTTCTCACCACAAACATTGCAACCACTTGCATCTTTCTTCAGTTTTGCAAGCTCAGCTAACTGGGCCTGTTTTTGTTCATTCATTCCCTCTGCAACTGGGATTAGCAGTTTCTTAACCATTTGAACTGCAGCATCTGATGATTTTTTATTGTCCACCTCTATTCTGACATGCAAATCTTCTTTCTCAGAGGTAAGCTTAAGGTCTTTTATTGATGAGCCTTTACCTCTCAAAAGAATCTTAGCCCCACTTCCCTCTCCATCCTCTTGAGTGTGTTTCCCTGAGGACCAAGGATGAGAACAATAAAATTATAACCAGGATATTCTTTCGCCAGTATGAAAAGCTTTTCACAGAGCTTTGTATTCATGTAACAGATGTTCGTTTTTGTTTCAAATTGGGTTTTTCTGAATTAACCTTGATCTGATATCTAGACGTTTTTGAACAAGTTTTTGCGAAGCCTCACTTCCCTGGTATTTATTCTCATTCCAAGGTTGTCGTACAATGGTTCGGGAGGAGGAGATCTTTCATGTTCAGCCCTATTATCATGAAGTTCTGGTTTCAGCAACTTGTCATTTATCTCTGAAAGTACAGCCTTTAATTTCTGAACTTCAGGATCCAACTCAAACCTGACAGGAACCTTAACTGAACCAGGCAATTTCAATTTGGGTTCATCACTAGCCCACCGGGTTTTTCTTACTTTATGAATCCGTTCATCTTCACTTGTATGTCCATCTCCCTCAGGCTGTTTATCCCATCTGCTATGCCTGTGTTTTCCAGAATTGCCTATAAATCCCTGTTGTTTGGAAGCATAACTATCATCAATTGCAATGGACAGTCTGGATTGCCCTTGAAAATCTGGAACCTGCTTGGACTTCTTTACACCTTGCATGATAGCTGACTCACATGTTGTTCTATCCACTAAGCTCTTCTTTTCAATTGAATTATTAGGAACAGAAACTGGCTGGTGCCCGACTTCATCAACTTTACTAACAAAAGATTTCTCAGCTGAAAGATGCTTCCAATGGAGCCTTTACTTGTTCTTCATTGTCATTATGCTGCTACCCTTTTAGTTCCTCTTCAAATTTGTCACATGAATAGTCCTTCAGTTCCTCACTGGACTCCTCCTCCACTTCTCAAAACATTAGTTCATCCAGTCACGACTTTCATCATCAATCCAATAGGAAGAAGAATATGATAGACATTCATTTTGTTGGCCCCAAAGCTTTTTCCATGGCAACACGTCTTTGAAGTCCCTGGAACATATGAAGCTTTAAAATTTACCCATTGCACCTTGAACAATGGCTAATCTATTTATATGAAGAACACCTAAAACTGGTTCTTCCACTGCATAAAAAATGTATAAACTCACATCGCTAAAACTTAAAACGGACAAACTATCATCAAAACATTGCAATTTGTAAAATTCTATAGAAGCTGAAACTGGCGGATTAAAGAATCAATCCACAGAAGATAAATCATGGAAAGTACAGTCAGAGAAGGTACAAAAAAAAGCTCATTTCAATATTACATGGTAAAATGATATGGGCAGAAAATGGTAAGCAACAAGTCACATAACCAAAACCAACAACTGTGCACAATTATTTAGAATTCGATGAATCATTAAACTTTAACAACTCTGAAAATTTTCAACTATCAGATAGAATGCAATATTAATGGTGAATTTTCTGTCCTCGAAAGAAAATGTAGCAATCGCCCATTCTTGTTGTTTGCTTTTTTACATAACAGTAAAATTCTACTAATAAATAGCTACCGATGAAGTGAAATTTCGATGAATATTACATGAGAATGAAATCGAAATGAATAAGTTAAAATTCATGGTAAAACGATCGATGATAGATGATAAATTTAGCCAAGAAAAGTAAGGGTTTCAGTGAAACGGACCTGAGCGAAATCAATAAATACAATCCCCCATGGCCCGAATTTACTCGCACTACCTATCTATCGATCTATCTCTCCTGAGCTTAATGGTCTTTTTATTTTTCCTCTTCTCTTCCGAAACCTTGACCAGAAAAGGTTGCCGGGTTCTCTCATTTAAAAAAAAAAAAAAAAAAAAAAAGAAAAAAAAACTCTGACTGAGGAGTGATGATTTGTACCATCCGAAATGGGTCCACAAACTATATTAGGGTTAAAAGGTGTATACGAAACATCTATGCTCGTCCGGTACTCAAGCTCGGGAAAACAAAAAACTCGAATTTGTTCGGTGGTCAAGTTGAATTTGAACTTTGAACTCCAACAGTTATTAAAAGAATTGGATTTTGAGTATCTTAACGTCCATAAGTCTAATCTAATTTTTCCATTTTTAACATATATTTTAAATATTTTATTAAATCAGCATACTATTATTTTTCTTCTCAATACTTATTTTATTGATACGTGACAATAACTTAAAAAGTAATGAATGAGACCTGACAAGGGTTTTTTTTGGTAGGAGATCAAAGGATAAAATTTTTTGTTGTAAATCGTAAAAACAAAATGTTAGCACTAAAATATTAGTTGATGATTTTTTCTGATAAAATAAAAAAATTTATTCAGCTCCGTAATCTAATTCATTTTTTCTTTAATTCCTCATAATTATCGAATTTCTTTGATTTCTGAAATCCATTGAATACTTTTGCAAGGATTCCAACCCACTAACCCTTCATTGGCAACCAAATTTTTTTTACCTTTCTCTCACTCATCGATTTAACCTACTTATCTAAAATCCCTAATAATTATTAAAGTATTTTGTTTGTTAAAATTTATTATGTCAAGGATTACAACAATATTTTCTTAATTTTTCTCAAAACCCCAAACAGCCGAAACAATCCACATCAATCAATTCCCTTGAAATCCCCTCGTCCAAGCGTTTTCCAACCATTTGTGACCCCAAATACATCGTATTCATTCTTTTATCAATTTCACAAGAAAATCAAAGCTGCTGGCGGCTCATTGTTGTCCATGCTATCCTAATTCTCTTTTTTTTCTAACCTAGGCAAGTAAATCTAGTTTTTTGCAAAATTTTATTCTATTACAAAATACCCACACCATGGTACATTTAAAATTGAGTTGCTTAAGTTTCAAAGAAGAAAAATTCTAAGAAAAAATGGCAGCTTTGATACTAAACATTGTACCGAAATTTGATTGTTATAAATCATTCTTTGATATGAAAAGTTATCGTATGTTTTAGAAATTGTTGAATGAATGAATTAATGGGATAGTAGTTTTTAAAGACTTTTGTTGTTGTCACAATGTATAAGCTTGAGAATTTATTCATTAGACACAAAAAATCATATAATCACCATAAATTTTTTTTACTTAGATGTAATTGATTACCTATTTAAATCTATCTTTTTTAAAGTTATCATAACTATAAACTAAGGGCTCCTAAAAAGAATATATTTTAGTTTATATCAACAGAATTAAGTTCGAAAATCGATTACATGTAAAAAAGATTTTATCATCCAATTATGTTCAAAATTAGTATCAAATTAATTATATATTATCTTACCTAAATCTTAATCAAAGATGATTTTTTATCTTGTAAATTATGTAAAAATCAATTCAAATCTCTTTTATTTATTTACACAACATTGTCATACAAAAATTCTGTAAAAAATATCATGCAAAACATGCAATATCAATCATGCAAATATCATAACAAATATCATACCTATATAAAAATCTTACCAAAAATCATGCAATATAATAAGTAATCATGCAAGAAATCATGCAAATATAATTATAATTATTCATGCAAAAATCATGAAAATATTAGGTAATAAATCATGCAAATTCATGCAAAATGTTAAGCAATTATATATTCGTGCAATAATCATCATGCGAAATATTAAGCATAAAAAAATGCAAAAATAAATATGCAAAATTATCATGCAAATAAAAATTTAATAAATCATATAAATATTTAATCATGCAAATAAATAATAATCATGCAAATATATTATTATTCACGCAATAAAATTAAATTCATGCAAATATATAAAAACTAAATTCATAAAAACATCCTGCAAATATACCATAATAAATCATGTACAAATATTATGAAATAAATATGCAAAACAAAAAAATCCATGCAAAAATCAAGTATTAATTTAAAAGGAAAAAAGCAATGAAATAGAAAAATAGTTAAATAAAAAAACCAACAAACTTATGAACTAGGTTGAGTTTTGCCGATTTGCGTGGGTCCTAGCATAGATTGAAGCTACAAATGGATCCGCTTATCTTGTTACTAATACAATGTCATTTTATCAAAGGCATTTAAAGCAAAAAGTCAACAATTTATTTTTTCATCTCCATATTGTCTCTTTAATCAAATTATCTCCCTTCACTCTTCTTTTCAAACTTAAGAACAAAAGCCAAAGACCGATTACCCTTCCTAGAATCCACTGCCATCTACTTTAGCTGATACTTATCTCCTTTCGTTAACCACTTACTACATGCCGAAAACACCTCTTTAGCTTTTTCTCTGCCTACCATGGTCCAAAACTTTGAAGAAAACCCAAAGCTGAAATTGAAACTCTTAAAGAAATCCAAACAACTATCCTATAACATTATCATTTTCTACCATTTCCACCACTAAAGAACCTTTAAAAAAAAAAAAAAAACTCATTTCTTCTTCCATTTCAAACCTAAAAAAAATTCCTTACAACAAAAAATATCGAAAACTCTTATAATAAAAACTTTTTATTTTGTTTTCAATTTTATGTAGGTGTTTTGCTACTAATTTGTGTGTTTGTGATTGCTTGTCAATGGGTAATTATTGATTTTAGTGCCCTTGTATTTATCGAATGGGTACTTATAGGTCTTTCGATTATTTGCTGATGATTCAAACTTGTATTCTTATCTTTTGCTAGGTTAATTGTATTATTTGTGGAACCACTTCGTTGAATGCCTTAATTGAATTTGGAGGTAGGACTTGTAGCTACTACCACTAGTTCAAGACTTTTAACGTATGGCTCTAGCTTGCTTAAGTATTTGACCCTTTTGAGTGCTTTGGAAATTGTCTCTATTTTAATTTTTATTTGTTGCTAGATGTTTATGTTTTTACTAGGAATTACTTAGTTATGTTCTTGGTTATGTGCTAACTGCTTATTGCCTCCCTTCTGTCTCTGTAGGATTAGGCATGGAAAAAAGATATAAGAGAATTATAAAATTTTATGAGTAGACACCCTATAAGACTACTGAAGATTTATGTCTTATGGGTGTGTATATTTATTTGTGAATGGATTAGAGGAAACTGGGATGATCCATATAGGTATGATGTATGAGTGCATATGGGTATGTGTTTGATTGTGTTGAAAGGATACATATGGGTATATGTTTTTTAGGCTAAGAATACTCCATAGGATTAGAGAATATTGAAAGGGTCTATTGGTGTTGATTGTTGAGTGGATGATATGTTTTAATATATGTTTGTAATTTTTTACAACTAGTGGATCTTGTTTTTCATCCATGGATGTAGGTTAATTAGATCAAACTACGTTAAATTATTCACGTTTGTGTGTTTGATTGATTCTTTGATTTTGCTTCCGTTGACGTGATTAGATTGGGGCCTTTTAGCCTAACAAGTGGTATCAAAACTGTGGTGATCTCCAACAAGTGGTATCAGAGCCAAAGATTCGAAACGTGAAAAGAGTTGAAGGTTCAAGACGTGAAAAGAGATAGAGGTTTGAGACATGAAAAAAGATAAGCTTCGAGAAGCTCAATTTAATAAAAAAGTTTGAATTCATATTTTAAAGATCGATTTACATGAAACGTAAAAGCACATAATAGAAAGTGATTGTGAGACTTCCATTATAGGTGAAGTCAAGTATGTCTAACATGAAAACATATGATTGATAAAATTTGAGTCAATATGAAGATTGTTAGAAATAATGACTCAAATCCCATAAGTGATTTGTTTAAGATTTATTAGAGATTTGTTTGAGATTTATTAGATATTACTTGATGGATAAGAAGACTTACAAAAGAAGAATTTTAAAAGAAAGAAGATTCTTAATAAGTAAGTTTGACTTACAAAAGAAGAGTTCTAAAAGAAAAGCGATTCTTAATGGTAAGTTTGTATAGTTATAAATAGGTGAAGTCTCTGTAGAGTTACGCATAAAAAAAGATGTAAAAGAGTTGTAAGGTTTTATGGTAGATATCTCATAAAACTACTAAAAATTTACGTCTTATAGATGTGTATATTTGTTTGTGAGTGAACTAAAAGAGACTGAGATGGTCTACATAGGTATGATGTATAGGTGCATATGGGTATGTGTTTGGTTGTGTTAAAAGGGTACATATAGATATGTATTTATTTGGGTTGAAAATATTTTATAGGACTAGAAGAGATTGAAATGATCTATGGGTGTTGATTATTGAGTAGTTGATATATTTTGATGTATGTATGTAATTCTCTATAACTAGTGGATCTTATTTCCTATTCATAGACATATGTTAGTTAGACCGAATCATGTTAAATTGTTATCTCTTGTGTATTTAATTGATTCTTTGATTTCGCTTTCGTTAACGTGATTGGATTGAGGCCTTTTGGCCTAAAAATTCTTGCTTGACTATTTTTGCATATGGTGTAGCTTATACTCTAGCTTTGAAATATTGATGTCTCTATGCTAAATCCCTGCTTCTTACTAATTTACCAAAACCCTCTTTGAAAATCTTTGCTTGATTGTTTCTTGTTTGATGCTTGATTGTTTGTCGTGTCTTTTTACTTTTTTTAGTCCCTTTTGTATTGCTTGAGTTGCGATTTTTGCTTGACTATTTTTAGAGATTGGTGTAGCTTGTAATCAAGCTTTGAAGTATTGATGTCCATATGCTAAATTTCTGTTTCTTACTGATTTACTGAAACCCCATTTGGAAATCTTTGCTAGATTGCTTCTTGGTTGATGCTTGATTGCTTGTCGTGTCTTATTGCTTTTTTGAGTCCTTTTTATATTGCTTGATCTTGTTGTTAATTCCTCAATGCTTGATTTCTTGATGTCTCTTTCGTTGATCACAGATCGAGTATTTTTATAGACATCAAATTCCATTTCAATTTGGACAAGTAATAACTTCATTGGATTTTACCAAAGATTTGCAAGATTTTATTTTTTTATTTTCTTTCCTTTTTTTTTCCATAGATTGGGCCTCAAATATATCCTTAGGCAATTGTTCAATAAATTCTAGAATCTAAAATCAAATAAAAACCAAACCTATCAATTTTTTTTTACAAATTAAACCTATGTTTTTTTTTTCAGTGTTTTTTTTTTTTATTTTTTTACTTTGACTTTGACTCTTTTGACTAAACAAAAATAATAAAACCAAAAACTAAAAGTTAAACAAAAAAAAATACAAATAAAATTTTAAGCTTTTAATTTTTGGACCTTAACAATTAATTTCTCAATTAAGACCCAATAACAATTCTTATCTAGTTTAAAGTCCATTTAAAATTTGGAAAAATTTCTAGATAAAATGGGATATCTATAGCTATTATGTTCAATAGAGCTGAAAATAAGAGTTTGATTCTGATGGAAGAATAAGGTTTTGGACCTTTAATTAATACTCCAGGGTATATCTTCTTATTGTTTGACTATCCTTTGTTTCAACCATTTTTAGGGGCATAGGTTTTTATTAGAAGATATTACTAATATTGTATTTGGTGTTATTAAGTCAAAATGTGTTATAAAATCAAAGGCCAGTGTTATTAAGTTATTAAAAACTTTATATTAGTTTTTGAAATATAATTTGCATAAAGACTATGATGCCTAATATAGAGTTCATGAGAAGTTATGGGATTAGTTCATCACAAATTGTTAAATATGTGTTTGGCTTTCCTAGATTGTTCCTATATAAACTTGAAAGCATTAAGAAGGTTGTTAAAAGAGTGGATGATATGGGATTTGATATGAAATCAGATATGTTTCTTATTGCTATTAGGAGGTTAAGTTTAATGAGTGAACAGAATTGGGAACTCAACTTGAAGCTTTTTAGGGGGTTGGAGGTTTTTTGAAGATGATAACATATGTACTTTTAGGAGGAAACCCTAGGCGCTTGTTGTGTCAGAAAGAAAGAATGAGGAGTTCAATAAGTTTTTGCTTAGTAGAAAGAACATAAATATTTATTTTATAATAAACAACCTAATAGTGCTCATATGTAATCTTGAGCATAGGTTGAAGCTTTGGCTACTAGTTATTTATTTAAAAATAATTTTAAATGCTACATAATGAGCAAAGAGCTCACTGCATGTTAGCATACTAACTCCTTAGGAAATTTGTGATTTAGGATATTTGATGGTGAATTTGAGAATTGAAAAATTCTTATTGAAATTTGGAATATTTTAATTTTTCCTTTTTTTCCTATATGTTACTTTTTTTCTTTCTAAATCTATTTGCAGATCTATTTTTGAAATTTATTTTGTATTTTTTAAAATTTTTATTATTTATATTTTAATTTATTATTTATTTTGATTAAAGGTGAAATGATAATTTTATAATTTTAATTGGTAATTGTTTAAAATTGGACTGGTGTCATGCAAATATCTGTTGAGAATAGTTTTAATATATAATATAGACATATAGATATTTACATCTTTAAATTAAAATTTTATGGCGCTTGAAGTTGAACATAATATAAAAAATATTTTTAATTAAATAAATTAATATAATAAATCGATTCAAGCTACTCGATTATAGTATCAAAATCGAGCTCAAGTTTAAAATTTGATTGAGTTTACGAGTTTAATGACTAGTTTGATATTGCTAAAAATATTAGGGTTGAAAAAATTACGTTTACAAATTATGATTAAAAATTTTGGGTGTCGGGTATTATTGTGGTACGAATATTTAAAATATTTAAAAATAATAAAATATTAAAAAAATAAAGATAATAAAATGATATTCCATTTCAATGTACTTTTTCGCTGTAGAAATTTTTTTTTTTTTTGGCTTAGGTTAGAAAACTAAGGTAGTCTTTGCTTTAAAAAAACATACTATATTTTTTTTTATAGAAACTAAAAATATAGGTAAAAACATGTTTGGTTTTAAAAAATAAATAATAATTCTAGGAAAATAAAAATAAAAACAGGTCAAAGTTAGAGAATAAAAAAAAAAAAAGAAATTTTGAGTGTTTTCAAAGAAAATGTGGAGAACATTTGAAAAAAGGCAAAACACGGATTCTTTAAAAAATTTTTAATTGTTCACTCTAAACTATCTGAACACCAGAGTTAACTTCATAATAGACACAAATTTATGGTTCTTTTGGGTAAAAGCTGAAACAAGCTTTTTTCCTTTATTCTCCTTCCTTGCATTTATTTTTTTCTCTTCCTTTTATTTTCTTTCAAATTGCTCATTGTATGCAATTAAAAAGACGACCTTTTGATTGTTTGATCTTTGTTTTTCTTGCGTAAGTATTCCTTTTTTTATTTGCATTGAATTCTATTTGTTTGTTGAGAAAACGGAAGGATATTGAGAATTTTCCAAGAGCTTTTTCATTGTGATTTCTCATAAGCAAAACATGACCTGGAAAGTCGATTTTTGTTTCCTTGAGAGTTTGATTCATGCCGGGCAATGTAGGCTACTATGATAATATATTTATTTCTTTTCCTTTTTATATTCGTTTTGTTTGATTTTTTTTTTTTAACAATGTATAGATTTAAACCATACCTTGCTTGTTGGTTGCTGTACATTAATCTTTTGTCTTTTATCTTGGTTAAGTACGTGTTATGACTTCAATGAAATTTTTAATCTTAAGTTGTAGCATGTATGAAGAAAGATGTGGATGCTCACATTCCCAACCGCCCAAAATTTCCCTAAAAATCTATTTTTATTTTGTCTAGTGATGAATGAATTGGATCAGGACAAGTTTTCGTTTGAGCCAACTTGGATTCAATCTTTTAATATTTATATTTAAATTTAATTTGATGTTAAAATATTATTTTTAATATCCAATTCTATTAGTATATTCATAAATCGTAATTAATTAGATTTGAAATTAATTTAATAAATTTAATTTAGTCTAATATTTATAAAATATTATTTTTTTAAAAGGAGGGATTAATTTACACAAAAAAAAGTTTTACACCTTCTTAAACTTTTTTTTTTAACTTTTGATTTCAATAGATTCAAAATATGAGATTAAATTATTTTTATTTTTTTGATTTATTTCTCTTTTCTCTTGAATTTTTAAAATTAATGGTTAAAAAAAGATGTAAAATTAAAATATTTTATATTAATTTAAGTTGATCTTATTTTTTTAATATAAATTATATTTTGATTATATATAAATTAATATTTTTATTAAATTAAAATTTTAAATTAAAATATTAAATAATAAATTTATTAATGTAATATATATAATTAAATAAGTAATAAAAATATATTTTTATATATATTTGAGTCGGACGGGATGTTAATACTTAAAACTTGATTCTAGAAAAACAAAAAAAATTCTATCCTATTGAATCGAAACGGTTGAGAACCCGTCAGTTATGAGTTATGTTGCCATCCATGTTGCCATCCGTAATCATGGGTCCTTCACAATGTCACCTTGCGTGTATTGCTACCTTATTCTTTTTGCCTCTTGTTCCTTGCCGTTCAGAAAGATTGATGATCTTTTTATTTATATGTTATATTTTTTAGTGCTTTCTGATATGTTTTCTCAACTTTCTATGGCTTAATTTTGCAGGCAAATCCAGAGACGGATGAAGTCGATGTTCAAAATTTGTGAGCAGATCACCAATCTGTCATCATCAGAATTGTCTAGTGATAGCACGCATGTTGGCATCCTAGCTACAGCTGCTCTTGCAGCGGCAAACAATAGCCCCTTTACTGTGTTCTATAATTTAAAGTCCACGTAATAAAAAATTTATGAAAATGTGAACTGATATTTGGTGTTATGGCAATACCAACCCTGTTAGTGGAAAAGAAAATTGTTTTTTTGTGCTTATTTTTGTTTAAGATAGTGCTGTTACGTATTAGTAAAATGGATATTATATTGAGATTTTATTTAATTCATGATTTTGTTATTTAGTTAATATTTTTATATTTTTTATTTTGAAAATGCAAATATTAAACATATTTTTATAATTTTTATTTTAAAAATAATTTTTTTACCTAACATGTTTTTTAAAATTAAAAAAATACAAAATAAAAATTATTTTTAAAAATGAAAATAAAAAATATTTTTTAGAACCAAACCAGGCTCTGCGCGAAAAAGATCTTCTCTCCTTCTCTCAACGCAACCATCAATGCCGGTGACGGCATCTCAAAATCTATCACGACCGTCGCCGCCGTCTACTTCTTTAACGCTGTCGGTCATTTTCTCTCTATCCTATCTTCTCTCACTTTCCACGCCGAACACTCTGTCTCTTTCCACCTTCCCGAACCTTCCTTTTTCTCAGATTTCCCTCCCCAATATTTCCTTTTAAAGTAACAAATCTAGGTTTTCTCTCGCTGATTCTCTCCTCCTTTTTGGGATTCAGATTTTCTTATAATTTGATTTTCTCTCATCTTTTTGGGATATGAAGCTGTTTGGATAGCAGTGATGTTTTAATTGGTGGTTGAGAAAAATCGAAAGAAATCGTATGTTTGGATACGAAGCTGTTTAGGTAAGAATTTCTTGAAGCTAGTTTTAAAATTGAAATCGTATATACTGTTTATGATCGTTGTTGAAATCACTAACTTTCCGGAATATGTTGTTGCTCTTGCTACAATTGTTAGATCTGTTCTTCTCTCCGAATTTAATTTCGTGCTAAATTTAATATTATATTTATGATTGGAAATTGAATAGCAATTCTAGTTTGTAAATGTTAACTTTTTGATAGAATATATTGGCCACATCTTGAAATTTCTTGTCAGATATTTGGTGGTGTTGGTATTGCTTGTCTGCCTCTTCGGACTTCGGTTTATGGCTTCATTTATCCGCCGTCAAAAGGCTGTTATTACTCGCACATAATATATTAAGGTTTTTTTTTTTTTTTAATTGCTTATGAGTTATGATACTGCTACATGAAACCATTCACTAGAGTTGGAAGATAGTATTGATATTTGCACATTGTATTGTAATTGCTAATAGTCATAATTGCAATTGATTTTGTAGGAAGCAGCCAAACTTGTTAAGAAGGCAAGAGAACTGAAGAAAGCAGTTGATGCACTTCATCAAGAAGAAAGAAGTGGTTCTAAGGGTAGAAAGTGGTGTAAGAAATGTTAAGGTTGTGGAAAAGGTATGTGTTCAGCCCTAAATTAGGATTTTTTTCTTTGAACCTATTTTGTACCATTGTATATGATAATTATGTTTACCAAGCAAGCTTTAATCATGAGTTTTAGATCCCTCTAGGTCTAATGTCATCAGTTTATTAAGTTTTCCTTTTTGGTTGAAAAGTCGGATTGTCAAGAATTTGGCTTGTGCTATAATCTTTATAATTTTGAAGCTTAGTTATATTTCAGTCAGGGTATTAACTTGTTGCAGTTTCTTCATCAGTTGCTAAAGTAACTTGTGTTACACATGCTTTCTATTCCATATCTACCCTTTTCTTAGTAATTCTCACATTATTGCAACTAAATATAGCCAGAAAAACATATAAAGAATAAAAATTACTCTGGGTTTATTTTCTTTTTTTAATTACATTGTTTATTCAATCAAGATTACAATTTATAGGAAGTAAAATGTTACAAATGTCATTGGAAAAGTCTGCATTTTCTGATGTTTTGTACTATCAAAAAGATGGATTGTATATTATACTTAGAAGAATGGTAAAGTATTTACTAGAAAACTCGGTTTGTGTGAGGGTTGTATCGCCTTTCTTAGTTTGTGTTTCTTTCATAGTAACATTATGATGGGAAAAGAAAACAAACTTAGCCTTCTTTAGAGGCAGAATGACAAACCATAAGTATAACCAGTGTTGTCAAGTGCACAAGGCGCACTCAAGGCAGTAGAACCCTTTTATTGCATGAGGTGCAAGGCACAAAAAAAAAAAAATGCTCCTAGGTGCACCTGGCATGTGGCGCTTTTGTTGTATAGTGCTTGAAACACTAAGTATAATAGAAGAGAAATTCAATTAGGCAAGTGTTTTTTGTGCCTATCACCTTGCAAAAAAGCGTGCCTAGGCACAATAGGTGTGTGCCTGATCAAATGCGCCTTGCTCTAAAGGGTCTGAGGCACTTTTGTTATCTAGCCCTAGGTGCTGTGCGCCTTGACAACACTGATTATAACAGAATTTCCCCTAGATACATACTAGTTCTCCTTACTTTTTAGAAAAGAAAAAAACAAATAATTTTTCTTACATCCAAATTTGTTTCTGTAGTTAGGGTTGTTGTTCTCTAAAATAATAAGACTTAGCAAACAATCAAAGATTAATAAAAAAAGTTCAGGTGCTTAATGAGATAGATACACATGTTTATTGATTTGCATATCATTTCTTGAAGTTGGATCAATGCTTAGAAACATGCTGTAGTTTTGGTCACACCCAAACATATTAAAGAGAGTATTTAATTTAATTAATATATTAAAGGGTCAATTTCCCTTAAAAAAGGTGAATAACAGCAACTTATTGCATTCCATTTCCATGCCTTTCTTTTGTGGATTGATATGTCATGTCTATCCATGGTTGCTTTGCGTATGTAAGCAGCTTTAAGCTTTGCTTTTGGCATTTGTTAGTGGCCATTGTAACCTCCCAAACCCAATTATTGCATTACTAATCTAATATCTCTAACCCAAACCTGATTCTTGCAACTTAAAGCTTTGCTTTTGGCATTTGTTGGCGACCATTCAACTTCAACTTTTTAGGGGGAGGGGGGATACTGTTTCCTCAGTCTATATGTTGCCACAGTAGTGGATAAAATATCAATAAATTTCTTCTGTATGAAATTGTGGAAAAACACTTATTTACAGTTGGTTGTAATATTATAATATGTATATTATTTGTATCTTTAGAATTAAATATTTGTATTCCTAGAATTAAGGACAAAAAATTAGGATAGACAATCCCTTAATTATAGGATCAGATTTTAGAAAGATTTAGTTTCCTAGTTTTAACCCCTAGTTAGTTGTATATAAACCTAAGGTTCTTGTATAATTCTTAATGAGCAGTTTTTCAATATACATTCAGTTTTACTCAGTTTTTCACACAGTTTTATTTCTTAGTTTTTTCATATGGTATCAGAGCTTTAGGCTTTTCTTGGGAAGCAAAATTTTCAGCTTTCATTGCCGAACCCTGTTTAGGCCTTCATAGCTATTCTATTTTACCCTTCTTTAGCCTTCATTGCTAAGAGTCATTTCTGGTTATATCTTAAGACTTGTTTTAGTTCAAAAAAATATATCACTATCATCCAATTCGAGGAAGTGTCAACTGGAAAAATCATCAAAGTACTATAGATATTTTGGAAACAGGGAGAGTTGGACAACCAAGAGAATGAAAAGCTGCGAAATCTATTGAAAGCTTTTGAAAAGCCTACTGTGGTATATTTCTTGGGTAAGGTATCTAGTTCAGGTAAAGCTTTTGGTTCTCATGGATTAAATGTCTCGGTTAAACCTATTACGAGTTCTTGGCTCATTGACTCAGGAGCCACAGCCATATGACACATTCTTCATATAAGTTTAATACATATACCTTGTGTCTTAGTAATAAAAAAATTGTTGTTGTAGATAGTTCACTTACTACAGTGGCAGGATTAGGAGATATTTAAATTAATCCCTAATTTGTTCTTAATGTTCCTAGATTATCTACTAATCTGATATCTATATAAAAACTCACCAGAGATATGAATTGCAATGTGATTTTTTATCCCTCTTATTGTGAATTTCAAGACTAGAGTTTGGAGAAGAGGATTGGATTTGCTAAGGAGAAGGATGGACTATACTATCTTGAGATATCAAACAACACAAGTAATATAAAGAATAGTTTACCGTTTGTCATTTTTTTTCTGAAAAATCTTCCAATAAAGACAAAATCTAGCTTTATCATTTTCGTCTTGGACATCCTTCTTTTGGAAATTTGAGAAACATGTTTCCTTCTTTGTTCAAAGGATTAAACATCGAAGATTTTCATTATGATGTTTGTGAACTTGTAAAGCACAGACATGTGTCTTTTCCAATTAGTAACAAAAGAAGTTCTATTCCCTTTTACTTGATTCATAGTGGCATTTGGGGTCCTTCTACAATTACTAATATTTCTGGTGCAAGATGGTTTGTTTCATTTATAGATGATTGTACTAGGATCTTTTGGGTTTTTTACTTAAATCCAAATTAGATGTGAATAGTGTGTTTTTAAGCTTCCAAAACATGATCCAAAGTCAATTTGGAGTGAGAATCAAGAGATTTCGGTCTGATAATGGAAGAGATTATTTCAACTTGAGTTTATCCACCTATTTTCAAAAGGAGGGGATTATTCATGAGTTATTTTGTGTTAATACTCTACAGCAGAATAGAGTGACAAAGAGGAAAAATAGCCTTTTACTAGCCATAACTTGAGCTTTCATTTTTCAAGTAAATGTACCCAAATCTTATTGGGGGGAAGCTGTTCTCATTGCCACACACATTATAAATAGGTTACCTTCAATGGTTTTGGGATTTAAAACTCCTATGGAACTACTCTTACAATTTTATCCCAACCTTAATTCTACAAACAACCTCACACCTAGGATATTTGGTTGTACATCATTTGTTCATGTTCATAGTCATAATAGGGGAAAGTTGGATCCAAGAGCAATTAAGTGTATCTTTGTGTGGTATTCATTAACTCAGAAAGGGTATAAGTGCTATCATCCTTTTATCAAAAAATTCTATGTGTCTGCAGATGTCACTTTTGAAGAAAGTAAAACATTTTTTACTCAACTTTATCTTCAGGGGGAGACTTCATTCATGGAAGATAAGGATAAATACTTCTTTTTGCTTGATTTGTCATCTTCTTCAACATTTTCACCCATTAATTCTTTTGAGTCGAAACTTGTTTCTACTGAGCCCAAGTCAAACACTGAATTTGAGGCTGAACCCATTGCAAACACGGAAGATGTG